ATGTGGGCAAGGATAATATGGGCCATATTCACTCTGGAAAAAATTTTTTATTTCTAGTCTAGTGTCCCAGTATACTGCCTTTAGTCTAGAAGGTCAATTTGACCAAACCAAAATGCAGGCTTTCTCACCAAGAAGAGGGAGTTAGTTCCCAGTTAGTTCTAATGTAAGCACAGGCAAATATACCAAAACTGCTACTATTAAAGGTTTGAACAATTAACATTTTTCTGGAAGACAAGCAGTGTCTAATTCTGTCAAAGACATTCTCCATTTTTATAGTATTTTTGCAGCCATATAGTTTAGTTGTTTATTGGAAAAAGCAAACAACAACAATGAAAACACACAATTGGAGTCCTGGTGCGGATCTGTGGGTTAAAGCACGGGACTGCAAAGTCAGTTTAAACCACAAGGTCAGCAGTTCAAGCTCATCAGTCACTCCTCAGAAACCTTATACAGGGTCGCTATGGGTCGGAACTGATTCAAGGGCATTTAACAACAACAGAAACAACAACAACCTAGCACAATGATTGAAAGCATGGTTTCTGGAGTCCCCACTTCACCACTGCTGGCCCCTTGACCTTGAGCAAGTTAACTGAACTTCTCTTTCCTTCAGCTTTCTTATCTAGGGAGAATAATAGTACCCATCCCCAAGTTATTGGAGTCGTGGTGTGCCACTATTGGGAAGAATGCTAATCTAGTATGCTTAGGGTACCTGATCTTATCTGACCTTGTGGTTTAAACCAGTTTTGCAGTCCAGTGCCTTAAACCCACCAGCTCCGCACCAGGACTCCAATTGTGCTAGGTGGTAGACAGAAACTGGCATGGGACTGCTAGCCCTTTGCATCCACACTCAGCACCATTTGTCTCTCTCATTTGTAATGAATAGTATTTATTGTAGAAAATGTTTGGTAGCTTGCTCTCCTCCTGATTCACTACAGTGTTCATCTATTTAAAGTATGGTGCCATGAATTCAGTTTCCCCTGGTGTGATTCTGTCAGATAAGCACTGAACAGTAAGGTTGGTTTGAACCACAAGGTTGGAGGTTCAAACTCACCAGTCGCTCCTTGGAAACCCTATACAGCGTCACGCTATTAAGTCAAAACTGACTCTACAACAACAGTGAACACAAATAAGGAGGCCTGGTGGCACAGTAATTAAAGGACTGGACTGCTAAGCAAAAGGTCATTGGATGGAACCCACCAGCAACTCCATGAAGAGAGATGGCTGGCTGTGTGCTGTGGAGTGGCTCCAACTCATAGCAACCCTGTACAGGGTTTACGAGGCTGTAAAGCTTTACGGGAGCAGAATGCCTCATCTTTCTCCCGCGGAGCAGCTGGTAGTTTCGAACTGCTGACCTTGCACTTTGCAGCCCAATTCATAACCACTACGCTACCAGAGCTCCTTTGAAGAGAGATGAGAGGTCTAAATTCAAACTCAGTGCCATAGACTCAATCCTGACTCAGATCCTCTACAAGTTTCAGAGACTGCAAATCTTTCTGGGAGCAGACAGTCTCATCTTTTTCCCTAGGAGTAGCTGGTGGTTTTGAACCGCTTACCCAACAGCAGCCCCAGGAAAGCCTCTGGAGCATTTCTACTCTGTCCTATCACAATCAACTCAGTGACAATGGGTTTTAAACACACACATCTGATGTTAAAGCTATTTCATTCAAAAATGACTTTAACCTATTTTGGTACATTTCAGTGGCACAGCTTCAACTTTAGAATTACATAGCCGCTCCACAGAGAATTTTAAAAATACATATCCTGTTCCTCAGGTGTTTCATATTGCCAATCTGGTTCCCATTCTGGTGCTGTTTAAAGGGGGAAAAGCCTTATGTGTTCCATTGGTTACCTAAGCCTCCCTAGTCAGTCACTTTCAAGCCTTCCCAGCTGGGGAGGTCTGTTAAGATGGCCATTAGGGCAGCTACAAACCCCTGGCGAGCTCTGTTCTTCAGCAGCCTTCTCAAGTATTTCAGCCTCTGAGCTTTGTCTTTAAGCATAGCAACAATCAAATCTTCCAGTGCAGACAGACTGAAGAAGAGAAACATGAACCCCTTCAAAATCACACAGGTAAAACTATCAATGGAGGGAAGTTTACACTTATGGCCATCTGGGGGAAGAATGAGAAATGAAGCAGCACATACTCATTGCACCAACAAAAAATCCTCGTCTCCACAGAGTCTTCTGCCAGTCCGGAACTGCCCAGATGGTTTGTTTTCCTGTTCTCTTACTTTTCAGGTAGTTGAAGAATGGCCAAGCTGGCAGATAAAGATCACCCTCTACTAGCGGGTTGGCAGTTTCCAGAGTCCCTGTATCATACTCATGCTAATAAGTGTCTTAAAAACAATTCCTTCCAACCCAAACAACGTGACTGAAAGTTATTCAACCTTTGGAACTAGTCAACAAGTAAGTCTAATGCATAGGAATTTGGACTTTTGGTTTAATCTAAAACTCTTGAGTAGAGACACAAACTCTGAATTCTGTCTTTAGCAATCTAGACAAATCTTTTAACAAATGTTACTGTACATCCGTAATTGAAGATCTTCAGTTTCCAAAATAACCAGAAAGGCCAATGCATACTCGTATATGTCATAGCTCAACATTGTAAGTCATTCTACCACATACATACATGTGTGGTCATACATTGAAATGTAGATTGGTAAATGATTTCAGTGGCAGTCATCGGGGTAAGAAATTAGAGGCTAGAGTGGGAAGGGAAAGAAGAAGTTAAATTCCTCACCAACAACAGGAAAAAGAATCCAATCTTAGGAGGAACGCCAATAAAGAATTTAGCAGTAGGAATCTGTCCCAGAAATACAGATTGGTGAAGCCCATTTAGTCTCCTTTATGTTTTCCTAGGAGACTTTCCACAGTGCATATTCCATGTGTACTAAGTGTGGCATTTGGCTTAAACATAGCTACAACTGTGACGATGGGGGACAGAACCAGTCACTATGAGTCTAAACCAACTGATGGCAGGCACCTAACAATACTGTTCATTGTCATAGTCCCAGCCCTTCACCAAAAAGGGCTTTCCCCACAGATTAAGAAGAGGGATCAAACCTCAAACATTCCAGATTTCACAAGGCAATAAACCTTCTGGTGTGGCACTATAGGATAAGCACCGTGCTACTAGCCACAAGGCTGGTCATTCAAACCCACCAGCCACTTCTCCATGGTTGCTGTGAGTCAGAACCAATTCTAAGGCACTTAACAACAACAACACAGTGGGATTGAAAGCTAAAATCCATCTAAGAGGGAAGAGACAATTCTTGGTGGGTGGGGCACCCGGCCATAAAATAACAGCCTAATCAAGATTTGGATTCCTGATGTGGTGCTGTAGGATCAGCACTGGACTGTGAACCACAAGGTCATCAGTTCAAACCCACCAGCCACTCCTCCTCCAAGGTTGCTCTGCATCAGAACCAACTCTAAGGCACTTAACAACAACAACACAGTGGGATTGAAAGCTATAATCCATCTAAGAGGGAAGAGACAATTTTTGGTGGGTGGGGCACCGGGCCAGAAAATGACAGCCTAATCAAAATTTGGATTCCTGGTGTGGTGTTGTAGGATCAGCACTGGACTATGAACCACAAGGTCGGCAGTTCCCAATAAAGGGTGGGTCTGAGTTGAAAGCCACTCAAAGGCACTTAATAACAATCAAGGTTTGGCTACCTTTTAGAAGAATGTCTTGCAAAGCAAGTATCACAGACAAGCATTTGGTGGCTGCAGCCCCCTCCCCCCCAACCCACCCCGTCCCTGGCTAGTTCCTCCTTCCCCAAAAGTTGATAGATGCTTTATGGTGTGTAAGGAAGATCAAGGATATAATCTATCAAGTTATTCCAAGAGCACTATCAGGCATCTCAGAGCCATTTTTTTGTGGTTGCCTCCTTTTCTTTGACATTACTACTCCTGTTTGAGTTAGCCATGCCTTACCTCCTCCCACAATCCCCCTCCCCTTTGCCTGATTAGGGCCAGAAATTTTTTCATTAAGTCACTTTATAGTGCAATAGCAACATTTACTATTCATGAAGTCGCCCCTCCATAATTTTTAAGTCTTTCCATGTGTCTGGAAGCTTGTTTCTGTTTTTCTCATTTTACAGAGTGGCTCTCTTCCTTCCAACACAAACTAAAAAGAAAGAGGACAAACTGGGGGGAGTGGACAGAGGCTGGAGATAACATCCAGAATCTTTAAGTGTGTTTAATCCAGTTAAATTTCCCTTTTGACTAAACAGCTCCCCGCTGCAGATGACTAAGGACCTGAATTCCAGACTAGGAATTAAGTGGAGTGGGGAAAGACAGTAGAAGCAAGTAAGAGCGTCAGCTCTATGCTATGAAAACCCGCTATGCTACTGAGGCTCCATGGTTTTAACACATTCATAACCCCCCCACACACACACACACACTTTACTAGAATTTTTATTTTCCAACCGCTTTATAGAAGCAGGCAGTCACCACTTGCTTTAAGGCTTCCTGCTTTGGGGATTTAAAACAAGTTTGTTCAGTCCCCTAAGCAGATACTTTCTTAGGAATGCCGGTGTAAGACAAAGTTCACCTTAATGCCATACGTTGTCTGTCACCAGGAAAAAGCTTCTTATGGGCACAAACCAGCTCCCCAGCCTTTGTCGCACGGCAAAAATAAACACCATTTGCGGAGTTAATTAGGTGGTCAGCAGCCTTTGAGGGGTGGCCACAGAGCTTTTAAAGTAGCACAGATGGGGCACACAAAAGGAGGCGCTGGTGAAATGTCAAGCTATACATCTGGAGCCAGATTCCAAAGGTAAATGCATCTCTGGAAGCTATTCCTCAGATGTCAGGCCACAAGACCCCTGCTTCCCCCAAGTACACTGTCTTGTGCCTTAAGATTCCCCACAGCTCAAACGTCTGCACTCCAAAATAGGGGCTGGGGGAATCAAGCCAAGGAGAGGGGGTAGGCAAGCCAAGGAGGGAAGGAGAGCTCCAAAAACGAAGCCAAAGGGAAGGAGTAAAAAGCTACTCACACGCTACCTAGCGCCGCTGCGAGACGAGCATGACTTCGCGGTCCGGGAGCCTCCAGGCTGCAGAGCTGCGGACACGCCGGGCCCCGCTTAAGTACCCGCCGGGCCGGGAGCCTTGGAGCCGCTCAGCCACTCCCGGCGAGAGATATGGTTCCAATCAGATGCTGGCAGCTGAGGACTCCCCAGGAATGTGCCGGGATGTTTTTGCTGCCTGGGTTTGGTAACTCCCCCTCAACGTGTCTGCTGAGTCTTCCAAACTTAACTGTTTATTAACTTGAGCGGCGGCTGCGCCGAGGACCCTGTGACTCCGCGAGGTCCCGCCAGCTGGGGGCGATCGCCAGGCAAGCTAGAGAATGGGAGGATGGAGCCCAGAGTGTGGGCGACAGAAAAAACCCAGGCCCAGTAGCGGGGAGGGGGTGGTGCAAATCAGGACAGGAAAGGGAAACTCCAGAGGAAAGGGGTGGGATCCACCGAACTTCATTTCACAAATCCGTTCCTTGGATTCCCATTTCCAGTGATGTGGTACACGGAGTCCACCTAGCCCCCTGGGGCCCTTGAACAAAGGATTGCCTTTACTCCTGACATTCCTGACCAGGGACAGTGGATCCCAGCTCAAATGGGCTGCTTCTCAAGTTTAAAGTGCGGTTGTCCCCTTTAAAGGAATGCGTGTCTCTTTCATTTCAGATGTGGATGCCCTGAGTTTGGTGGGAACTCTATGTATGTATATGTAAAGCATATTGTATTTACATATGAAATAGAATTATGTATATACGGATAGAAAAACAATACTCTGTCTATGAAATCGATGTAAATGAAAACCGTTCACTTCTATATAAGTTATCTAAATAAGCTATGTAGCTGATATAAACAAAGATTACAGATTGATGAACCTTACAAGGTATATGTCCATGTGCAGAACATGAGTTTATCTTTACATTTACTAAGCATTTCATATTCTTTTATTTTAAAAACAACAAAACCCATGAGCCATGAGAAATAAAATATTTTAAAATATTAACATACAGTGTTCCGCAGGAAAAGGCACAACATATCATGAACATTAAGTCACTGGGAACTCATTTCCTCCCTATTTTTAAATCACGTGCAATTGTAAAACATCCACAAAGCTGTGTTACTTTTTTAAGAATTAGGGCATTATTATGAAAGGCATGGTCTCTGTTCTTTTTTTTTTTTAGGTCAGAGGCAACGTGTATTAATTATGAAAATGCCAAACTGGTATTCAGATTTGGAGAGTTTGGGGTTTTATTGACTAAGCTACACAATGGATTTGCATTTCACCTCTGGAAACTGGGTTTTCAAATCAGGCTTTTGGGACACCAAGGATGTATTTTGTGGTTCAAGCCCCAGTAGTGATGGCAGAGCTACCATGTAATTTGTGGAGCTCTCTGTGAGTGGCAGTTCCTGCTCTCAATTAGGTCAGGCTTGGTGTGGGGAGACTGAGGAGCCCAGAGCTGGGAGAGACCATGACATCTCCCCAGCCTCTGTTGTTGCTAAGTTGGTACCAACTCACAGAGGCCTCTTTATAGGTTTCCTAGAGCGACTGGTGGATTTGAACTGCTGACTTTGAAATTAGCAGTCTAGTGCTTATCCTACAGAGCTACACCAGGGCTCCCTCCCTCTACCATTTTTCTTCTATATCATCTCCCTATACCTGGGGTTTGGTGGAGGCTACTGGGAGGTGGGGGTGAAAGGGAAGGGTGTCCGTGTTTTCAATATTCCTCTGAGGTAATTTGCTATCATTAACAGTGGCTTAGTGTGAATGACTAGAGGCATTTAAATTTTAATCGGAGGATGGTATTTATAATATTTATGCAGAGAAATTTTATTCTGGCAGATCATGGGACATGGCAGGACATACAGTGCTTTATTTCTAAAATCTTAAAGTCCAGACTAATGGTTTCACTAGTAAATGTTAAGTCATTGTTGTTAAATGCCTTCGAATTGGTTCTGACTCACAGTGACCCTGTGTAGGGTTTTTGAGGACCGCTGGTGAGTTTGAAGTGCCTACCTCACAGTTCAAATTGACCTTGCAGTCCAACGCATTAACCTCAGCGCCACACCAGGACTCCTAAAGCCTACAGCATCCAGTATTGCTGGGCTGTCTCCCATCCAAGTACTAACAAGGCATAATAACCCTACTTAGCTTCTGAGATCAGAAGATATTAGGCACATTCAGGGTGGTATTGGCCTTAGACTCAGCAGTTAAGTAGTTTTGTTGTTGTTGTTGTAAAGTGCCATCTAGTTGATTCTGACCCATAGCCACCCTGTATAGGGTTTCCAAGGAGCAGTTGGTGAGCTTGAACTGCCAGCCTTGTGGCTCAAAACAGCTTTGCAGCCCAGTGCATTAACCCACAACAACTCCACACCAGTGTATGGGGTGGGGGGCACAGAGGCTTATTTAAGGCATATATAGATCTGATAATTCAAAAGAAGTGAATTTTTCTTTTCACCTCAATGTGCAATATTTTCTCAACTAAGAAATTAACACTCAAACCCCCTTTTTTTTATAAATTGAGAAACTCTTACTGAGAAATGTTAACTTCTGTTTATTCTACCCCACCAAATGGCTGGAAGGAAATTATTTCATCTGCAATGAGCTAAAGTTTCAAGAGAAGACTTGGGCAAAAACAGTTCCTTTTATGAGCAGTGGCCTCATATGTCCAATATAAAATGGACAGCTCTGTTGTTTTGCACAGAAATCTTGAGTATTTTATATATATCTTTATATAGGTGGCCATATGCCATGGAGTCAGTTCTGACTTACAGCGACCCAGCATAGGGTTTCCAAGCCTAAAGGATGGCTGAGGGCCATAGTCTTCGGGTTCCTCCAGTCTCTTTCTGACTAGTAAGCCTGGTATATATATCTTTATATATATATATCTTTAGTTTGCTGGTATTACTTCTGGCAGTAATTCAATGTCCTTCTCACATTTAAAAAAAAGAGAGAGAGAGAGAAGATAAATTTAACTCTTTTTATCCCTGGTGACACACTATCTGCTGGCACATCTAAGTTGCTCACTTCCTGTTAGATTTAAAGTGAACATAGTTATATCTGGAGAATAAAACTAGACTTGGCAATTTGGAGTGCCCACCCAAAGCCTAACCCTGACCAAATCAGAGTTTTATGTTATCACACCAAAATGGATGTTCAGAAAACTGAGGTAAGGATAATTCAATGTGAGGCTTGAAAAATCAAGGGTCCTTGCATGTCACTTCCTCTTGCAGAAAACCTGCCTGGGAGGGAGTAGGAAAAAATTTTTAAAAATGACGACTGTGCTCCCAGCCTAGGAAAGGGGTAGTTAATCCCGTGATGGCTTGCTAAAGAATGCATGGTTTATTATTAAAGTAATCTCTTAAGATTTTCCTGGAATGTACTTCTACAGCAACTCTGCGTGTGTGAGCTATCCTGTATGTGTGTCTTTTCTTCCAGAATGAAGTTCTTTTTTTACCCCTCTTTAGCTCATAGATCTCATGCTTTCTCTCCTGTTTCTCCACCCTATCTTCTACCACTCCCCAACTCCCCCCACTCCTGCTGCTCTTGCCTCCACTAAACTGCCCATTTTGAATCCTGCTGTTTCACAGGAATTGTAAATGGCACTTTGGAATTGTCCACAAGGTAACCTGAACTCTATGCATTGCTGGACACGTAGAGATGTTCTAGTCAAACAGGGATTGATTGATGTCTGTGGATCTAGCAAGGTTATGTATATATATTTCCCCTCTTTTTCTCTCAATATTATAAAAAAAAAAATGAAGAGACTAGCTATTGTTTCCAGGAAATAAATCTTGGTCTTGACAGATCCTCCATATTTAACATTGCAAAAACACTGGTTTTATGAGATATCATTGCTGACAAGAGAGAACAAATTTTGAGGATGATTTTTAGAATAAGCGCTGGATTACTGACTTAACTCATAACCCACTACACTGCCAGGGCTCCTTAACAACAGTATATACAGTGGGTTGCTATGAGTCAGAACCAACTCGGTGGCACACAACTACAACAATCTATCTATCTATATCCAGATCCAGATCCAGATACATCCTATCTGTCTATCTATTTATATTGCTGTTGTTAGGTCCCATCAGGTCAGTACTGACTCTTGGTGACATTATGCAAAGCAGAATGAAATACTGCCTGGTCCTACGCCAACCTCACAACCGTTGCTACATTTGTACCAATTGCTGTTGCCACTGTGCCAGTCCATCTAGTTGGAGATTTCCTCTTTTTCTCAACCCTCCACTTTACCAAACATGATATCCTTCTCTAGGGGGCTGGTCCCTCCTGGTAACAAGTATGAAGTATGAGAGACGAAGTCTGGTCATTCTGGCTTCCAGAGAGCATTCCAACACAGATTGGCTTTTTCATTTGGCAGTCCATAGTACTTTTAATATTTTTTGTTACACACACACACACACACATACACACACATATATATACATATGGAGCTCTGGTAGTGCAGTGGTTACAAATTGGGCTGCTAATCTCAAGGTCAGCAGTTTGAAACTACCAGTGGTTCCTCAGGATAAAGATGAGATTTACAGCCCCGGAAACCCTGTACAGGGTCGCTATCGGTCGGAATTGACTCAACGGCACTTAACAACAACAATGTATACACACATACACACACACACACACACACACACACACACACACACACACATATATATATATATGTTGTTAAGTGTCGTTGAGTCAGTTCTGACCCATAGCTATCCTGTATAAGGTTTCCAAAAAGTGGCTAGTGGGTTTGAACTGCCGACCTGTGGTTCAAACTGACTTTGCAGTCCAGCACATCATCCTGTAGCCTGGTGTAGCACTGCAGGGTAAGCGCTTCACCTCAAGATCGATTTGAACTGCAACATTGACGATTCAAACTTACCAGTTGTTCCTTGGAAACCCTATACAGGGTCACTATGAGCCTGAACCGATTCAATGGCATTTAACAACAATATATATTATACATATATACAACAACTGGTGGGTTTAAACTACCAACATTGTGGTTAGGTACCCAGTGTTTATCTTAAAGCGCCACACTAGGACATATATATGAATATATATATGTATATGGAGTCCTGGTGTGGTGCTGTGGGTTAATGCGCCACACTGCAAAACTGTTTGAACTGCAAGGTCGGCAGTTCAAGCTCACCATCTG